GAATTTTAAAAATGAATCTACGACAAACGCGGAACAACGATCAAATAGAATTTCAGATTCGATTCCGAACAATAAAAACAATGTTATTGTATACATTGATTTTTCTGCTGAGAAAAGGAAAGTTTTGCGGTGAACGCTATTTTACCAGATGCGCTGAGTAAATTAGTTTACATTTTTTTCTTCAAATCACACGTAACGCGGGTTTTCTTTTCGATAAAATTCTCCACCGTCGGTTGAAATTCGTTCGGGTGACATTATTTATACCGGCCGGCCGAACAAGATTTATTTTTTATTTTTCCTTCGCCGACTGTATCTCCCGTGTTTTCCTTGCGATGCGCACCGATAAGTTCAGTTAAATATCTTGCACGGATGGCACTCGTTATACACGTACACGTGGCCGGATCCGCCTTCACCGTCGTCAATGTACATCATTATTACGACGACACGATTTTCTGGTGCGATACGAGCGACGACGGATCGCCATTCCGCGGCGTCGGCGGTGGGAAATAAAATATTACAATAGGCAGCCGGTGATTGATTTTGAACGACGTAGTGCGTTATTGCGGCACAGTCGTATTATTTGAATACGGTCTATAGATCGTTGTGTTGCACCGATACCGAATAGAAATTATACACACGTCCCCAGTTGTCGCCGTCCACATATGTTCGGCCAGATCGTTTAATTAACCGGTACGCGTACGTCCTTCTACTTCTTACACTTTCCCAGTACACTTATGTACGCACGCCGAAGACAGTACAAGGCGTGCAAAAATCGCGATTGAACGCGGTCTCGATTGTTTCTAGTTTCTCTTCCCCGCGCGTATCATTCCCACATTTCTTCGCCCGAAACATGTGCATACGCGTATAAACGACTGTATTTAGGCATATATCATTTCCCATTCGATGAATCGTCGGTAGCTATTATGATTGTCGATATTGTTCGGATCCAGTACTTTATTTTTCTCTATTTAAATTGTTTAAATTGTATGTATCAATACAGTACGGCACGTGAATTTAAAATATATCATTTTTTTTTTTTTTTTTAATATACTTGTATTTTAATTTATTTTATTTTAATAAAAACTGCTTCCGCAGTACAAACTTTGCTTATCCGGCTTATCAATTATAATACCTTAAAGATTTGAATGATTTGTATAATAGCAATATGTAAATGTATTATTATTATTATTATTATTGTTATTATTAATTTCAAGCCAGTGACATTTTTGCGCGGTCAATATGTCAACTCCGCACTCTCCACTGACTCGACTGACTGCGTATATGCAACCGCGAGTGTCAATTATATATGCACGCATGGAAATCCGCAACAGAAAGAAGAATACAAAAACTTGCCGCATTCGATATTGAATTCAAAACGATGTTCCTTGAGGGGTTAAATAATGTTATTCGAAAACCGTGTAACCCTACCCTCCACCGCCAAGGACTGATTGTATAAGACTGCGTATACCGGACCCGGGTATTATTACAATTATACCTACTGGCCATTCGAATTGTTCGCCTTGACTACACACGTCATCATGTTTACACCGACGTTCGTTATTTCATAGAAATTCACGAGTCAGTTACCCGGATATCGCTAATTATTTTACTTGTATTCGCAAGACGTCGTTTAAAGTATTTATTTCTATGTATGATATATTGTTATAATCATGGTCGATCACGTAGACGAATCATTTCTTGTATATAATATATATTATAATTTATAATACAGTGAAGTTCGATGATTAGTTTTAGTTACGCGTCATTTTCAATGGCGTATATCACGTAACGTAATATTCTTACATCAAACTTTTAATATTTTTTTAACGTTGTTATACAAACGTCCTTTATAATGCTATAAATACTCGTAGGAAAAATTATCATGGTTTTATTATACTTTTGAGAAGTACTGAGAAAATCATATTTTTTTAAAATCTCCATACTTTTGCAGATTTGAAAAAAGTCAATCATTTTAAAATGCTTCCCAGGTTGGCTTAATAGTTATAGAGTACAGAAATAATTGAGGAAAAAATAAACAAATATTTACTAGTATAATTTTTTTTCGTAATTAGTTTTATTTTTGATATTGTACAAGAGGGTAGTTTAATGGAAAAGGGTTAGTGAAACGATTTTACTTTTAAAAACACCTAATTTGGCTTACCACTCAATACTAAGTTTAGTACGTTTCTACAGGTACACCACGGTTTAAAAACAGTTTTTTTATTAAAATCGAGAAGAATTACGTACGGAATAATTACTGTGTTAATTACGATTAAATTGTACGATATAATAACTGATCCATAGCCAGAATGCTTTCGCTGAAACAGTAACAGCTATATGGTCCAAATATTAACGTTTAAAAAACATTACTATGACCGGTTTTGTTCATGAAATATTTAGATTTCTATACATATAATCCTATTTCGAATGAGAAACAAATCAGATTTTAAAACTGTTTAATCTTTGAAGTGGACGAAAAGAGAAAGGCTTCAATTATAGGAAAATCAACTTTTACATTTCATTTGTTTACATTTTATAACTATTTATAAAGCAACAAATAAAAAATAAAACCATTTTCAATATTTTAATGATATTTAATGTAAAATTATCAAACTCAGTCAAGAAATTAAACGAGTGCATTAAAAATTGGTACAGTGTAAGATTAATAACTAATAAGTCATAGTTATAAGATTTTATAAATCTAATTCTATTTTTTTTTTTTTTTTAATAATATTTTATATTTTTTAGCGATCAACTTACGATTGATTTTACTAGTTCAATAACGCGTTTTTTAAATTGTATTCATTTAAAAACAATGATCTGAAAGGTGCACTTATTATTTTTTTTTCAACATAATATGATAAAATCGATTTAAATATAATGATTTGGACACTATATTTTGGAATCGTTCAGAACGAGTTTTGTCATGTTTTTGAGGAAATAATATTTAACTTTATTGCTAACGGTTATCAAACAGCTAATTGTTCTTAATGATGTCAAATGAAAGTGCTATATTTATCGACAGAAAATTAAATTATGTCAACTATTGAAATTTTATTTATCTTAAATTTTGGGTAGATATCGATGACTATTATATGCATAATTTGATTAATTTAATTTATATTAAATCGCATATGAATACAAAAATGTCTCGTCTAACTTTGTGATCGTTAACATGAAATATTTCACGATGGTTATTATTGAGTTAATAAATCCTAAACAAATAAGTCAAATTATTACGTCCAAATGTTGACATATCAACTATAGTATAACGGCTAAAGCATGAGAATAGTTAGTAATAGTTATAGTTTAGTTGTACTTAAGCTATATTTAGTTATAGTTTAGTTATAGTTCCTATATACTGAATTAAAGTGGGATTTATTGATTCTGCCGAAACATCCGGTTTGAAAAAAAAACTATCTATTGACTCCACTGGCTACTGTTCATAAAAATTTCGTATCAACTCCGCCGGTTATTGTTCATAAAAATAGAGCTTTTAACGACTCATAAAAGTTTGTTGATAATTGATCAATAAAACTAAATAATAAAAAAAATTCTATTTTTATGTAGGTATATGAAACATATTTCTAAATATTACCAAAATAATTTATTAAATAAATAAAATAATTATTAAATAATAACATTCTACTATAATTATTATTATTATTATCATTATAATTTTACTAAACAATTTTTAAATTTTTTATTTAAAATTAAGTAAATTAATTTTCTATGATAAAATTTTGTATTTCTTATTTTTCCCATAAAAATATAATGATGTGAAAATAGAAACCGCCGGAATAGACTGGCTTTTATGAACAAATGCTGACGGAATCAATAACCGGCAGAAATACGTCCAATCAAAGGTACACAGAATGTTTCAAGTGTATTCCATGTCAGGAAATGGAGCTTTGTAGTTTCGGCAAACGGCAAGACGCCATGGAATTCTGGGTTGGTAAAAAAATATTTGTAAATCGGTATTATCGTTATAGGCGTACACAGCACGCATATCCTATATAATATTATGATTACGTAATACGTATAAGGTCCGTCGACACGGGTAACGTTACGTAAACGAAGGCGAACACAATTGGAGACATATTTATTTCGAAGAAAGAGTTAAAAATCTCAAAAACAAATGCCTTGACCCCGTACATGGTAGTCAAGAAAACGGAAAATGAGGATGGTTGGGGGAACTGTCACTGATTAGTGATTATACCGACTAATATACATGGATAATATTATTACGAGAAGAACAACGGTGAAACCACAGGTGGGCAAAACGCCACATGCACCTTCTGTATTATTGTATTCAATTGATTCTTATAAGAAGTAACATATGTCTCAGGGACTCCCTTTCACTAATTTTACACCTCATTGCGCCAACACTAGATTCGAGTACGTTTTGGTGCTTTGCCGAGCTGCATACGAAACGACGAACGGCGCGAGGCCCATCGACACGGGTGGCATTTAGTATACTATTGAAGGAACAATAGAAACAATAGACGATATTATATTATTGTTATAGATAATATGCTTCACTGGGAGGAGGGAAAAGTTTATTATAAAAGCGGCCACCTTGACCTCATCGAAATGAAGAAGCACTGGTCACCGATATTAGTCCGGTGAGCTTTTGCATATGTACACCTACTTGATAGGACAGTGTTTTAGCATGAAGTAGTCGAAGGCTCATCGCAGTCTTTGAACATTTATCGTTTAAAAATAGTACGCGAAATGAGAACCTAATCCGTACCGAGATGTAGAGAAGTCTTTAGGACATTTATGCAGATAAAAATTGAATTCGCACCACGATAGCTGGAAACGTAAACGCGAAGGGGCTTTGAAGTGCAGTAATACGATGTAAGGTTGTAGTTCACCGCTGGTCCGGGAAGTTTTGGACGATTCGAGTGAAGGCAATCGTCGAGAACTTGATTTGAGGTACCATGACCACTAGATGTATCGAGAAACAGGTAAACCGATGGCTTAACGATACTACTAACCTGCTTGGGGCCGACACAAAACGGTGGCCAGCACGACGGCCGCCACCCGGAACCATTGGCCAGCAGCCGCGACCGTCGACGACTTCATCGCGCGCCGACCAGGCGTTGAAGCTGCTGTGTCGTCTTCCGGCCGCGTTTCGACCGGTACACCATCACGTCGGGCACAACAATTGAAATCACCGGGCTTGCCGCAAACGCACGACGACCGCGATCGACCGACGGGACGGCGCGACAGTACTACGTTCGGTCGCACTGCAGCCACAAAAACGATGGTCCGAAAGACTCGCGACGGACAGGAAATTAACGGGAAAAAAATTAAAAAAAAAAAAAACGGTCACGCTAGTGTAAAAAAAACCAACAACAACTACACTATAATTGTACGTTCAAGCCGTGAGAACGCGAAAAAAAGTAATGATGCGAATAAACGTCGCCTCGAGAGCGCGTACTGCGAACTACTGAACACCGCTGCCGCAGAACTCCCGTCGCGACTCGGAGCGTTACGCTCCGAGTGTAGTACATGCACCATCGCGGTCGGCCATGTTGAATATTATATTGTTGTTGTTTTCGTCGTCGTCGTCGTGTACTTGCGGCTGCAGCAGCACTAGTAGAAATAGTCGTCCGACCACTTTCTACGCGACCGCCCCTCTCCCGGCTCGCCCCACCTTCACACGAACTTCTTTGGTCCGCCGCTGAGGAATTTCTAGGTAACCTCCGCAAGTAATAATAATAATACACCGCAGTGGTTCGTAAAGAGCCCCGGAGTCAATGACTTCGACGGTAACGTGTGCGTGTAATGCGTACCAAACCACAACAAGCCTTTCCGCCGGTTCGGGTTTTTTTTTGCCGTCCTCGACTCGTCGGTTTCAGGATATTTTTCACAACAGAAACTGTCCGGTACGACCATGCGGCATCGACGACGTTTCCCGTATCCCGTTTTGCGGAATTCCCACCGGTCGCGGTATCTTAACGACCACGGTATAATTCGTCCGGGACAGGTTTCTGTGTTGTACCGCGGTTCGCTACGTACGTGTATGCATTACCGGTGTTACACGCCTCTCTCGGAAGCGTCATCGTACGAGGCGCCCTCGAGATGTTATGCAAACCAGACATGCTCGTCCGATCAATAATAAAACACACGGTAATAAACACACACTTTCTATTTTAATATGTTATAATGGTCCGCACATCGTTGACATTATTCATACGTTTTCCGTTACACGTTCACACAGAAAATTATGCACGCACGCGCGCAGACACCTATTGTATTTCAATAGTAGTCTAATGAAGCGACGACTATGGTTGGGTTCGTACGATATATTTATTTTTATTTTTTTTTCGCAAACTGTGAAAATTTCACTTTTGAGAATTGCATTCAGCGAAGAAGAAAACTTATTTCCCTAAAATACTCGAATGTGTTATTATTTATAGAAATCATATACCGTTATGACCTGTACATCGAGAAATGCATTTTCCAACGCGTGCTGTAATTATAAGTTATGACTACGATGTATCATTAAACTCATGCTTAAATTATGCAATTACACGCATGTATACAAATTTGATAGACGCTATTTCTTTGAACTCAATCATAATATCATAAAAAAAAAAAGATAAAACCACCGTGATAAAATAATGAATAAATGTTATACGAGTAGATACATAAAGGTTAATCGAGATTTTATTGACTTTTAATATACCTGACGATGAATTTTTATTTGGAAACCGGTCCTACTTTACAAATATATTAATACTTTAGGCTAAGCATTTACTTATTTATTTATAAATTAACTTACACGTTATACATTATACATTAACCATTTATTAATTTTTTCTTTTTTTCTTATCTTATTCAATATTATAATTGTTATAAGATAGTTAAAAAATAATTTAGAATTCAATTAAAGTTTTAATTTCTAAAGTAGAAGGGACTTTTTTTTGAGTAGATAAGTAAAAATGTTAAATTAATATAAAGTTAGATAAGAGGAGATCTGGTTTTTAGGTTTTAATCATTAATAATTATGAAAACTATCTTACCAATTACTTGTAGATGATATATAAAAGCAGTTTATTTTGAACTACAATTCTAAAAGGACAAATCATTTAAATATTTATTATAATTTGCAAAATTACAATTTAAATGAATTTTAATGTACAGTTTTAAATATAAAAAATGCTCCAGTATTATAACATTTAAAATAATTTATTTGATTTTTTTTTTTGTTATTATTTGTATTAAAAATTAAATCAAAAATTGTTCATTAACCCACATAATTGTGTAATTTTCGTAATTGTTTTGTCGAAACAAAATTAGAAAATTCATAAGATTACTTAGAAAATTATCAAATTTTTTGACTGTTAATATTGAAATTTTTTAACAAATAGTGAAAAATATGTTGGTCCAATCATTAGGATTATATAAAATAAAATCAATAATACATATTTATTATTTATCTCATTGAATTATAATTAATTATCATCTAAATTTGAAAATTACTTTTTCCACCATGATTATTAAATTAACTTTTTATTTAATTAACTTGTACACATCATTGCATTCGTTACTCAATAATTACATAGTTGTTGCATTGAAATTTATAATTCACAGTCTGTTTTTTAGGAGTACCAAAAGATTTTTATGCAATTAAGAAAAAAGTATTCCTGCAAACAGGCGTTCCAATACATGCATAAGAAAATTGTGAAAATCGAAATAATTATACTTTTTGATAAGGTCCATCATTTTTTCTCAAAGTAAAATTTAATTTTCTCGGGAGTAAAGTGTTGACCTTATCTAATTAAAATGTCTTATTTCATCTTTACTGAAGGTCAATATTACTAAGGCTGCGTATGCAGCATATAAAATCACAACTTAAACGGAACATGATGTATTATTTAAATAATTGTATATTAAAACTCAAAAAGTATATATATTATTGTTTTTCGTGTTCCCAGTAATTAAGATAGTATCATCAATAATTCAAACTAAATCTCTGTGTTAACGCAATATTGTACAAGCTTCTCGTTAGTAATTTATTATTGATAACTAGAGCGCGGATTTATATTTAATTGCATATTGATTCTAATTGATCGTATAATATGCTAAGTTAGCACAACATTAGTTTTGTGACATAACGATTTAAAGAATTAAATTTTTTTGGAACATATTTTTGCATATTTTGATATTTTCCAATTTATTTTTATTTTTAAGGCTTCTTTTACGTTTTTAATTGCATATTTTATCTTTTAGTGCATATTTCCATGTTTTTTTGTTTTATTCTTGTTTTATTATTTTTGAAATATTTACTAGGTACTGTAATATAACGGGTAAATCTTTTTTTGGAAAATGTAAAAAAGTATTAACCAAATATGAAGACAATGACATACCAAAATATTAAAATTTTTAAATGGTGAAAGTGAATCAATTCAAACCGGCGAGGATTTATCTTGAAATGAACTGATATATTTTTTAAATACTTACCTATTACTTTTGTAGATGTGGAAAGATAATTTTCAAGATATAACAATTTGTTAACTGACAAACACCAATCAATGACTTTTGAAAATATAACTAAAATGATTGCTGTACAATGCAATGTGCATTTAGGAATTTTAGGACATACTTTTGATATTAATTGATTTCTTTTTTGTTATAATTTCGATATTAATTGATTTATTTTTTTTTATAGATGAAAACTAGCTACAAATGATTTTGGTTAGTAAATTCCATTAAAAAGAAGAAGAAGAAAAAGTTTTTACAGTAGGGTTACAAAACATAAATGTAATTTTTTTTATATATTATTTCAATAATTAAATGTTCAAAAATACAATTTTTTTTTTTTGCTAAATTTCGAGTGCATATTTTTTTGCCTTAATGCATTTTTTAACACATTAGTACAAAAACTTGTGCGTTTTAAAGATTTTTTATCGCATATTTAGTCAATTTTTAATGCATATAAATCCACGCTATATGATAACCATTGCAGTAATCGGTTTAAACCGTTAAACATAGCTTAACAAGTTAACAGCTGCGTGTACCACTTTTGATACATGATTCATTTGTCATTCAAGCAAACACAAAAAAATGCAAATGCCTGAATAAGGTTGATTGAAAATTTGTTTTCCTTGCGGATTACGAAAAATTTTCCTGTATAAATCGTATTCACATGTATGTAACCTATTTGGTACTCGTAATACTTTTTTCAAAGATTCCAATGTACCCATTATGGTATACAATCACTTATTGGCACGAACGGAGTGGTACACGTAGCACCAGGTAATATACTGAAAAATAACGTAGCGATTCACCTGTTAACGTCTCGTAAATCTCATGAAAACTATAAGACTTAAAATAAGTAAAACTAAATTAAATTAAAAATTGAAAATTATTAATTGAAAATGAAAAATTAAAGTCACATATAACTCACAAAATACTTGTTTAAAATGTAAAAATTAAAAAAAAAAAAGTTAAATAATTTAGTTCAATGGTACGTGAAGCTATTTATAGAAATCTTAACGATTTATTCAAGTGCAGATTTTGTTTTAGGAAATTTATTTATTTATATACAAAAATAAAATTATATTTAATAAATACATAATAATTATAATTAACATATAAATCCGTCATATTTGAGATGTTTAACTTATTTAAAATAATTTTAATACTCATTATTTCTTAGACTAATTTTAATCTGTCGTTTTCTGAAATCAGTCAAATTGATATTGCGATATGATTAAATTCCCCAAAAAACAGTCTGATTTCTATAGAATTATTTCTCTAACTAATAAATTAATATAAATTTCTTTTGCAAAACTAATAACTACAAAGCTGGAAAATAGGCAAAAAACTATACACAAATGTTAAATTAATTTCCGATAAAAGTTTTTCAGGATAATTCATTCTGATGTATACAATACTCAAATATTTATATAGACTATAGAATTATTAAATTTATTATATATTTGTTTTAGATAAGGTATAATTTGTTATATTCTTTATTGTTATGTTATTTTTAAATTACTTTGTGTAAGGGTGATTATATTAGAAGGTATTATTTATTTTTTCATTTATTAATTTTTTTATGAATTGAAGCACTCTATAAAAATAAAATAAAATATTATAAAATTTAAATTAAATTAAAAATGATTAAATAGTTAATACTTGTAAATTAATATATGAAAAAGAAAACTAATATTTTATATATTGAAATAAATAAATAAATACTTATCGTGGAATATTATTATATTTATTTATTTTTATACAAAAAATATTGTTTACTTATTCATATATATATTATAATAAATACATTGACAATAATCACGAAAATACGATTATAACAAATTTTAATCTTAAAAAGAAGGATTTTATTTACTTTTTAGTAAAAATGATAAAGAAAAAATAATAAATTAAATGAAATAAAAATATGACTGAAGAATAAATTCCGAAAATAAATTAGTTTAGTTTTTAATCAATTATTCAACCTTAATACATGTTTTTGAAATTAACTGATACATATAGATTGATATCATTGATAGATATGGTATTAACAAAGAATTATCCTTTATATATATATATATGCTACTCATTATATTGTCATTCTTGCCTCTTTGTCATGTCACAACGATTTCCGTTCAAAACAGTCTATTCTTAATTAAAATTTCTAATAAAGTATTAGTTTACACCTTTTTTGTCGCTAATAAAATTTATATTTCTCTATCATTTCATATCACAAGTTTATTTTAGGCAAAAGGGTTACTTTTTCATTTTTTGCTTATTGACACTCAATATAATTATAACATTTAAATATCTTTTTTTTTTTTAGTAACTATTTAATTTTTATATTTTTGCTTAAATGAAATTACCTTTGAATGCCAGAGGATATCTTCTATTTTTTGTTTATAAATTAACATAATTCAAATTAATTTAATATGAACAAAGATAAATTGAATTATGTTTTCTGAAAAAAAAAAAAAGAGAGAGAGAGTACGCTTATAACTCGAATACAGTGCAGCGTTAATTTAATTTATTCGATATAATACTAAATATAATATACATACATAATATAAGAAAATATAGTAAAAAAAATTAAATAAAAATATAACGTATTTCATAATATTTACACGATAAAAGGAACATAGCGAATGATAAAACTAAATATAAACTAAATAAAAAATAAATTTGTACACAAAAATGTTGCAGTGTAGATTATTGACGTTCAGATAAACGACGCTTAGTGAAGTGGTACATTAGGTACATCTTCAGATACTCTAGTTAGGTTAAAAAATACTTATCGTATGTATTTGTTTGTTATCAAAATTAACTGATGACCTTTACAAATTGTCCAGAAGTATCGTTTGATTGTGGAAACGAATATTATAATATTATCAGCGAATTGAATAAAGCTGATAAGGGTGAAAACGAAGACAACAATTGTTGCAAGAAATCCTCTGATTCGGGTGTGATCATGTTGACTGAATTCAATGAAAATCCTACTATTACCGACGTCGTTATGATATTTTTTATCAACTTTTTTAGTTTTTTTTTTTTGACATTATTTGATTGTATTTTTCGTTTCAACTAATTTTGAAATAGAATCTAGTCACTTAGACGAGTCAAAAGAGTATGTAGTAAGCACTGAAGATAATTGCTGCAAAATGATCTCCAAATTCATCGACCATAGTGACACAGAAAACATTACAAAACAGGACCGTATAATAACCATTAAAACTAGTGTTAACGATAAAAAGTGTATATATATATATATATATATAACATTGATTAAACATACATATGTATATGTATGTTTAATCAATGTATATACATAGGAAACTAATTTGTTATAAATAGAAAAACATGTATAATGGTAACGGGGTATTTAACAGTTTATGTGTTATCAGATTGGCTGGATTTAATGAAAATCTGTCTATGGCAACTGCCATTAATAGCATTAGCCACAAAATTACTGGTGCCAACCAAGTCCAGACAGCTCGACTAAACAACGAATCAAAGGAAAACAACCAACATTATATTAATTGCGTATCAATTACAAGAACTACCCCAATAGATCTTGAGGTAAAATTAATGGACAATGAGAATTCTACATTCACTGAAAAAAAGGTCTGCAAAATGACTAATACACTCACGGGTCATAATGAGTTGATTGCTGTCCAAATACATGATCAAATCGAGACCGTCAATATTACTATGAACAATTATAAGTATATATATATATATATATATATAAATAGGTTGATAATAAATAGAAAAAGTGTATAATATTATATTTCTTTTTTTAGAAAGAAAAGTACAGACAATAAAGTAGAAGCACATTTAAAATGTGATCCGATAGGCGCCCTGCAAGAACTGTGGTATGTCTCGAGATTAGATATTTCCGGAATATCAGTTTTTCGAAGAAGGAGATAGTAAAACTTTTACATACTCAGTTGTGTGTACTGTAATGACATTCACTATCAGGGGTAAGTGATTGAATTAAAATTTCTATTCTTGTCCGAAAAAATAGTAATGTTCCTTTATACCGATTGAAGTCAGTGGTGTGTTTAAAAAAATTGCTAAACGACTAACTACTACGGAAATGTACTACAAAATTAAAAATGTTTCCAGTAGTAAAGTTCATTTGGCAAAAGATGTCCCTGAAAAAAATGTCGGAAGTCATGGAATGGTTAGTGATGCACATGTGTTCACGTTAGCGAGATTCCACCCAGAACCGGATACTACAGACGTCGTTGACGCACCAACATTTACTTCAGGCAATGAAAAGAAATGCGTAAAAGTAAAAAAAAGACTCAACATTTAAAATGCGCAATGACGTTTTAAGTCATCCGGTATCACTTGAAGAACACGATACTGATCGTCTGATCAATGTCTTCCAAATTCCCTAACCGCAATGAATATCACGTGTCACATGTAAACAAATCAGTTATCGTTAACGAAGACAAACAATCATTATTTGCTTCTGTAAACGTTGAGTTTGCCAAACGATTTCGACTATCAAATAATCCGGGTGATTGTGAATTGAAGGTAATCACATTCGCCTAACCACAACCATCGCATACGAGTATACATACTATGTAGAACGTGTTTTATATATACAATTGTTATTATGTCACAGGAAATGAAATTCATAAGCATGCTTACGAATGACGAGCTTTTGCAACAAATCGCCGAAGTGTAAAAGTTAATTTTGAATTATGAAATTTTCGAATGCTGCCAAGTCAAGAAGATGCGGCTTATGAGTGTTTGACGCGCTTCAAATCAATTCTAGAAGATTAAATGTACATTATAAATCAAAGCATTAGATTTCTATAGTAAGTTTATAAAAACTATTATGAAGTAAAAGGAAATTTATCGCTCATTAACTACTACGATGCACTTTGAGCGGCTCAAAACCAAAATTGAAATTTTTTTTTACACCTTATATGCTAAATTTTCTGTACGTACTAATATATACAATTGTATTATAATAGTGTGGAACGAGCGGATGAAAGAGAATTTTAAAGTCCACCGATCGTCTGTGTTCGGATCACTATGCTCAACAATAAGACTCGATAGCATTTTAGCATTTAAGATTGTTAGCATCAAAACCGTACAAAAACAGTACAAATTGAAAATATTTTCAACACATTATGTAATTATTCAACCCACTTCGGGTAGAATATCTCTTTTCTTATCGATATCTACTATTTAATGCATTTAAGAATTACTATTTGTAATTTAATCAATTGTTAAAAAATTGTTAAAAATTATTAAATAAAATTACAATGAATGTTTACAATTATAGCTCTAGAAAATGTAGTAAACGCTATAATATGATTTTAAAAATACTTATATAATCACTTGAATATGCACTGCAAATACAAAAATATGTGAAAAAAAATATCATATATAAATATTTTTTCCCTTTTACTATTAGAATACCAATCGTGTCACTGATACAAATAAATACATAATTTAAATCAAAAGAAAAAAGTTAGTTAATTAATATAAATTAATAACAAATATAATTCAGAATACAAACAGGATTTAATAAAAATTGATATTTTAAAGTTAAAATTTGCAAATTCAAAAAAATATATATAGAAAAAAAATATTAATGATTTGTACAAAAACTGATGAGAAATCGGGCCCTGGTGATTTTTACAAAGTTGAGGAAGTCGAGGGCTGATGGTGGAGAGACTGTGTCTCATATTGGCTTCTAGAGTTGTAGAACTAAAGTATACTATAATAACACTACATAACTAGCGACTGCAAAATAACTAACAATGAGCCCGGTTAAGTCGATAAGATAATCGATAATGCAGTGATTTCGCTTTAATAATAATACTGCACGTGATTATAGGACCTTAATAGTAAATATTAATAATAAAAACATACAAACTTAAAGGTATGCTATTTACATGACAGTTGTGGTATGGTTTTATTGTAATTAATTGTTTTCTCATTTTTTTTTCCTTTTCCCGAGGAGATTTCGTGTCTTCCCTACACTGAGTCCATGTCACCCCGGTTGAGAACCACTGCCCTAATATAATAATTACCTATATTATATATTAATTATAATCATATTTATATATGTTTATATATTTGTATATATATATATTATCCAAGGAGTTTTATTACATATAAAACAATGTTTATGTTAGGAAACTGATTGAAAACAAACAAAATTTAAAGAAAAAAATTGCTTATTCAATGTAAGTTTATTTGCCTACATATTACTCCTTTTAGTGCTTTATGTAATAATCTTAAAAAATCTCGTTAATTTGATTACGATTGTAATTTTGTGGTTTTTAAAATAAGTTTTAAATTAGCTTGTTGGAAGAATAAAATTTACTTTTGTGATCACTATATCAACAAATAAAAATAAAAATAAAAACTAGCTTTTACGAAGTATATACGGATAAAATATGGTCAATGGAAACTAATAAAAAAATATTGCAACTTATCAGTAGACGACGTAGTATTATGATTGAATCATTTTATTTGAATGGTCGAAATAAAATTGATTATAATCGACCTAAGTCCAAAATGCACCGTTAATTCCCGGAAATAAAAGTTTGAGTAAAAGTAATTTGTGATAAAATATAAACTGAATTAGTGAAACATGAACTATAGCGTTTAATATTATTTCTTATATTATCACGTTTTGAACAATAATTAATTTTTTATTTGGTCTTGAGACTTCAACCGACCACCTGAATATTTGTTGGTTTGCAAATTGTATTAATTAAAATATATTGGTGTGTAATCATGTAATTATACTAATGTAAATGTTAGTAATCATCATAATTGTATTATTTTAATTTTGAATTAAGAAAATTTAACTTTTTTTTATACTGTTAAGCAGAAAGTTTGATGTTTAATTAAGATAGTTTACGTCAGTGAAGTTACAACTTAGAGATATAATTTAATATATTTTTACTTTTTTTTTCGTAAAACTTTAACATTACAGCTTAAAACAGTATAATTTTTGCGTATTTATTTACATTATAATTTATTGAAAAATAATGTAGGTATATCTATGTAAATTAAAATTAATGTTCTAGACTTAATACTTTTTGATAAACTTAAACAATTAAAAACATAATTTATTATTATTAAAATTAAAATAATTATTCAATTATATTTAATTAATAATTAAGAAATATCTTAAATTATTCAACACTAATATAAGATTTATAACAATTTTGTGGTTGTGTTAAACATGATGAAATTAAAATAACTCAATTTTGGTTTATACAAATATGAGCACATTTGCTTCTGAAACCTCGAGACATTTTAATCACAGACTTTATTTGAGATTATACTCGTATATTATATTTGATAGATTTGTATTTGATAAGTTATTATTTATAAAGAAGTGAAATAACAACTCGTAAATCAGTTAGAACGTGTATGTACAATAATTTATTGTCAATACCAAACACCAAAACGGCAATACCCGGTTATCACGAGGACGAGTACATGTCATAACAAAAAAAAAAAAACTAATAATGCAGTAATTTAAATGGTTGGAACATTCTGGTATCAAACTCCCAATTACTTGATTTATTGTTTTTCATTTTTTATCACTGCATGAACTATCTATATTTATTTATTATTTAGTCAATGTTATGAAATGATTTTGGTGAATGTTTTCTATTTATTTTAGACTGTAGTATAGACCAGGGATGGGCAACTCGAAGTTACTAGAGGGCCAATTTTTAGAAAATTTAAATCTAACGGGCCAGAACATAGAAAAAAAAAAAGGTCATTCAAAATATGAATTTTAATTAGTATTTATATATATGGAAATAATAAATTCAACACACACGTTAGCATAATTCGAATGGTACAAAAAAACTGATATAGTTAAATAGTTTAGTAACAGCTATGGTTGAAAGCATAATACATTGTCATAATACATATGACATTTAGATATTTAACGATGTTTAATACTAGATAACAATTATTATATTGATAAATTAGAGCATAGATAATAAACTTTAAAATTGTATGATGTAATTTTAAAATATATTAAGGGCCAGATAAAAAAGCTCACGGGCCGGATGCGGCCCGCGGGCCGCCAGTTGCCCACCCCTGGTATAGGCGATCGAGGTATAACGTTCAGTTTACTCGTACTCAATGGACGGTCAAAACTAATATATTTTGAGTTATTTCAGAGATTTTTAATCAATATGATTAATCTCAACCTTAGCTACTCGATGATTTTTAAGTTGCAGGAGTGTAACATACAAGTCGTTTCCGTGCGTTGTTGGGTCATATCGAGTTTTCAATGTTTCAAGGTGCAAGTCATAATCCATCCTACGCGATTGTTGTTTGTTTTCTATACCTTCGTTATTTTATTCAACACGTAAACAAAAATCAAACTATGAACTCGACAATAATTAGACCAAGCGATTTAATACGAATTTCAAATATTTCAGATTTCGAACCAGTTATACCGATAAAAACGACGAATTTTAATATCAAATTAGCTTTGAAAGTATATATAAAAACTGAAAAATCAGTATGCCGAAATATTAGCACAGTTATACGTATGAAAACTGTAGACCATAATTGTTATGTTATTGATCTCCTTTGAATCAAATAAATAAATGTCCGTAGTACCATACTTGTTGACAACATCACGGCGTAATTAATGTTTTTGTAATTTTAAATCCACTGAATATTTTCTTATTGCTAATTAAGCACACACGAATCATAGTTCTATAGCTATATTTACGGAAATCCCACATCATGCACGCTAAATAGCAATTAATTTCACTGCATAATTAACTTTAGTTTTAATTAATATACAATTATTGTGAAAACGAAAAGAATGAGATGAAAGGGCAACTATACGAATATTACAAATAATATTTGAAAGTTTCTGATCCCAAGTTAAATACCGCGTTGGTCATCCGCAAACGAACTAATTGGCTATTATATTATAAAAATAACAACTCGTTAACATATAGTTGGTCAAACGAACTGCAAGTAATATATTTTCTGAGCAAAATTACCGATTCAACAACGAGGTTTTGCTGGACGGGTAAACTTGGCAGGGCAACACTTCGTGTTGTATTTGATGCGTGTACAGTGCAAGTCAGTTCGCGGAAGAGAAGATTCAACCGTGGCAGTTAAACTCTGGCGCTCTATGGCATTGACCTAACGACAATACTCAACTGCGCACACGTTAAGGAAGTATCAAGAACAGGAAGACAAGTTTAGATAAATACTAGATGTCTGCACGATCCGTTTTTTTCCGGCTCGATCCGCCCCGAAACTTAAACATACATAATGCCCATACCCATCCCTCCAATCTTGGTCTGTAACATTATTTTTTGCAGTCCAACCCGCCCAGACCCGTTCGTTATATTTATTATTTGTTTTTATCAGTGATCTATTTATAAATATCATAAATACAAATAATAAATGCATTTTTTCACCCATGTTTTGTGACAAGCTTACTCTTCGAGTTTGGGAACATTTTATTATCTAACGCCAATAATTAACATTCGTATTGTACTATTATATTATGATACGTATAAAATTATTTTTATCATTAATGACTATATAATATTGACAATGACTAATATCAGCAAGCGAGTTGTGGGGTAAAAAAAAAAAAATTCTTTTTACAATTCAGTTCATTTTCTATGAACATTGATCAACACTGTGTTACCAATCAAATCAGATAATTTTATTTTTGATTGGCCTGGTCCAAAAAAAAAATACTGTGATCCCACCCATAACCAACCCGCAATCTTTATATCATGGCTCGTGCAGATATTTAATAAATATCAGCAGCACACGGCCGTTGCATTTGTTGTGTTTCAGTAACGCTGTCGATGTGATTAGAAACAGTTTTCTGTATAATCGCCGTGCAGTGATTACAATTACGTATAAATAATGTACGTGCATCAACAGTCGACCTAACATACCGATTTCGGTCGCTATAAATATTGTAGATAATATAATATATTATTATTATATTATAATAATAATAGTATTGTATAATTAATATTATATAATTGCCTAATAACAATTATCCTTTTACAGCAAGTACAATTGGCTAATAAAATAAGTAATAACTTGGACGTTAGCGGAGAGGGGACCAAGGGGAAAATCACGAAGAAGATGGATAGACAGCATAAAAGAAATATGGAATGCGGCAGATCATGGTGAGGTGGATTGGCAA